TGCAGAGCTGGTGAAGATTAAGCAGAACTTTGGCAGTGATTGGCTAATATCATAGCAGGATGGGCCTGGTAGAGGAGTCACTTGCTTTCCTTGGAGAGGCTGCTCATGTTAGATAGAGCCTAGAGAAGAGAATAGCAGGTCTAGCGAAAGCCCTACCTATGCATGGCACCTCTGACTTGGTGGGTACACATTCCCTGCCAACTATCTGCTCATCATTTCTAGCTCATCCACCTGTGTGGAAGAGACCAGCTTCCCCCACCCTTCCTGTCTCCCCACACTGACACTGTAAGTGGCTCAGAATGGGAGCCTCATTACCGTAGAACACTTTTCCAAGATAGCTGACAGACTCACTGGAATGCACAATTTTCTGTTGCATCCACCCTGCCCATCTATTCATCTGCCAGCGACACCTTTCAGACCCTCCCATTTCCACATATTCCTGTTTCCTCAGCAGTGGAAAGTTCTGTGCTTCTTCTGCAGGCATTGTAATCATCAATTCATTTACAAACATACCACCAAAGAACTCCTGCGCTTGTAGGAATCAAGCACAGAACTCAATATCAGATCTATTGAAATATTACTATATAATATTTTTGTAAGGAAAACAATCACCGAGCTCTAATTTGCTTGCCTGCCACTAGGCAGCCACTCAAACTGCACCATGAAAGCGGCAGGTGGAGTAAGTAAGAAAAGCAAGCAGGCCAGAGGAGTGAGTGAGCAGGCTGGCCGAGTTCCTAGTGGAAGGAGACTGTCCAGAGGAGTGAGTGAGCAGGCTGGCCAAGTCACCACTGCTACTACCCAACCACTTGCCTGCTTGCAAGCATGCACAACAGGGCAAGCAAGGCAAACCTGAAGGCATTCCCCATTGTAACTCCTGCTGCCGGTTAATCCCAAACACCTCCATCCCTTGCACTCACCCCAGTCCCAAGATTCTGCTGTTTCTGCCACTCACAGGAGGATGAAGATGAGAGAGTCTCTCTCCACTGTGCCCCTTGCCACCACTCACTTCCCTCTGTCGGTAGCACCGAGTGAAGGAGAGAAAGACTTTCTCCATTACATTCTCCTCTGTGAGTGGCAGTGGGATTGGGATATTGGGATTGGAGCAACCTGGGATGGGGAGGGGAGAGGGAGTTTGGGATGAACTGTAGGGAATGGGGGAGTTTTTGGTGAAGTGTGTGTGATAGGGAGTTCTGGATGAACTGTGGGGTGATGGAGATTGACAACGGGGCAGCAGGTAGATAGAGATGTGGGGTTGAAGGAATTGTGTGGGGATGGGGCAAGACCAATGGCCTATGTAGTCCAACATCCTGTACTCACAGTAAGCAATGAGATGCCTATAGGAAGCCTGTGCACACAGAACCTGAATGCAACCTGCTCTCCTGTGATTCCTGACATCTGATATTTAGAAGCATTGGTGCCTCTGACAGTGAAGGTAGGACCATTGTGGCTACTACCATTGATAGCCTTTTCATCTACAAATTTGTCTCATAAATCCAGTCTCACTACACTGTCACCCCCTTCAACGTGCTACTCCCTGCCTTCTAGATCTAAACTGATGCTGCTTTTTCCCAGCTTTCTCCACCCCCCGCCGCCCCCGTTTCTCTCTACTGCCCACTTTCTGCTACAGCAAGCTCAATCTGCTTCCAACCTCTGCCCAGCCAGCAGGGTGTGACTTGCATTCCAGGTGCTTGGAACACCAGCTGCTCATCAGTGCCCGCTTAGCACACACCTAGCGTTCATCATCAAGGAGCAAGCTGGATACAGGAACCAAAAGAGAGCCATTTGGCACCAACAGAGCGGCAGGGCTGTAACATGCTCTGGTGTTTCTCAGTGGCTCGGCAACAAGCAATCTGCATCCTCGTAGCAATAAGAGGCGTGCAAGAGGGATGGACTGCTTATGCAGCTTTGAAGTGGCAATGTCTCCCCTTCCAGCTGGCTAGTAGTGGCAAAGGCAGTGGTACATATTATAGATGTGCATTGGCTCTGTGTCTACCCCAAATGATTAGCCAGACCGGGGTGATCTGAGGTTGCCTTTCACATGATGTAGTCAGATCAAGTCATTAACAAAGCATGCCATGGGAGCTCTGTTGCTTCAGGAAAAATTAAATGCAAGGCAGTTTTGTGGGCCATAGAAGAATAGAACTGGAAGGCATTGCAAGGGTCATCTAGTCCAACGCCCTGCAATGCAGGAATCACAATTAAACAATCCTTGACCAATGACCATCCAACCTCTGCTTGAAAACCTCCAAGGAAGGAGAGTCTGCCACTTTCTGAGAGAGTCCGTTCCACTACCAAACAGCTCTTGCCCTCAGTAAGTTCTTTCTAACGTTTATTTAGTCACAATCTCCTTTCTTGTCATTTGAATCCATAGATTCCGGTCCAACCCTGTGGAGCAGCAGGGGGGGAAAAGCTTCATCTTCCCTGTGACAGCCTTCAGGTATTTGAAGATGGCTATGATGCCACCTCTCAGTCTTCTCTTCTCTGGGCTAAACATACTGATATAGATTTGGGATAAACACTAGAAATTAATAAATGATAGGGATATGGATTAAAGTGCAGAACTGTGCCCAGGGAATTCTGGGCTGGCTTATGGAAACAAACCTGGTCAGGCTATGCCTAACAAGAGTACAATAGAGGCCATTAACAATACAAAGGAACTTCCCCCCTTGGCCCCAGGTGTGAACAGAGACTGGGGATTTGAAAGGCTGCCAGGGTAACTGCTCTGGGGGACAGCAAGGGGTTTTCTGGAAGGAAGAAGGAGAAAGAAGGGGTTGAGATCCATCTTGGGAGAGGCTGGCTAAAAGGTAAGGTAAGGTAAAGGACCCCTGGACAGTTAAGTCCAGTCAAAGGTGACTATGGGGTGTGGCGCTCATCTCGCTTCAGACCGAGGGAGCCAGCGTTTGTCCACAGACAGCTTTCCGAGTCATGTGGCCAGCATGACTAAACTGCTACTGGTGCAACGGAACACCATGACAGAAGCCAGAGTGCACAGAAATGCTCTTTATCTTCCTGCCACAGTGGTACCTATTTATCTACTTGTACTTTTGTGCTTTTGAACTGGTTGGCAGAAGCTGGGGCAGAGCAACGGCAGCTCACCCCGTAGTGTGGATTCGAACCGCTGACCTTCTGATCAGCAAGCCCAAGAGGCTCAGTGGTTTAGACCACAGTGCCACCTGCTCCCTTTGATGGCATGGGGTTTTCTGGGGTCTTCTGGAGGAAGAAGGGTTGAGATCCATCTTGGGAGAGGCTGGCTACAGGTAGCTTACACTGCTGCCTCTGGAAATGACTATGCCATAAGATCTGGACTCCCTCCATGCAGACTGAAGGTGTAAATAGGTGAATAAACCATATTTCTTAAAGCACGACAGTCTCTGCTGTGTCTTCCATTCTCCAAAGGGACACAGACCCCTGTGTGCATGTGCCTGTGACCCCCATGGGCTCTTGCCACCACTTGGCTGAGAGAGGGGCAAGTACTTAGCTTATGTAACAATACTCAACCCCCTCAACCATACCACATGAGATTTGGTTTCCAGACCCTTGATCATCTTGGTCACACAAGCACACCCATTTTAGTTTACAAGAAGCAAAACCCAGGTCTCAAGAGGAACAGGGGTCAAGAGAAGAAGGGAATAGGTGAAGAGATAGGGGGGGCCCTTTTGAAGGACAGCTCTAACTTTTTATCACAAGGAATTATTTTCCTAGTGCATTCCGATTACAGCAATTTGTGGGAAGAGGAAAAGCAAACCTGCAGTTCATCCTTCTCCCCCAAGTTTTGGCTGGGGTGGAAGGGTGTAAGTGGTGGAGTTGGAATATTGGGGTGGTCTGCTTCACTCTCAATTGTTCTGTTTCTTAACAAGCAATTAAAAATGATAGCAAACTCTCCCCCCCCCCCCAGCTAGGATACTTCCAGGAAGGGTGGGGCACAGTAAGGAGAAACCTGTGACTTTCCTCAATTATTTAAAATGTGGCAACTGCTCCATAGAGAGTGAATCTGAGAATAGCTGCCTAAATGTCAGATCAGTGTGCATACGTAGGTCTCCAGAGCTGTAGAAGCAACTGTAAGTGTTATCTTTGACAATAAGTAGTTAACTCTCTGCTGTGTGCATTCCTTTGACTGGCAAGCAACCTTGACATTATATATTATCTGTGCAAAATTCCCCTGGATTGTTCCTCCTGAATATTGGGATGCTTAATGGGGATCCTTTGTCTGCAAACTTCATCCACTTATGTGAAAAGAAAAGAAAAAGTTAGGGTCGTTTTTAGATTCCCCATTATACTCAATGGGGGCAAGACAGCTTTGGGTTTAACCAATCAGATTTGGACCCCAGATAATGACTGAAATCAGAATGACATAGGGCAGGTGCAAAGATCAGGGTTCTTCAGAATGCTACAGATACAAATACAACGTAAAATGTGGTTCCTGCACACCCTGAGCAGATAGATAGTATTGACAAACAGGTAGCTCAGCTATGGAATTTATTTTGATTGACTGGCTGATTGATTTCATATCATTTGTACACTGCTTGATTATAAACAAACAAATAAACCAAAAACCCTCAAAACAGTTTAGAAGGGGATAGAAAAATAGAATTATCAGTAGAATCAACTATTTAAAACACTCAAAAACAAATTAAAATCAGCAATAAACAAAAAACAGATTCAGACACATGTCAATATTCTATATATCTGGGTAGACTCATCTAAACATTAGTGTTTTTAGCAGGTGCCAAAAGAAGCACAGTGAAGGCATCTGCCTGATGCCTTTAGTTTACTGCTCCCTGATGTGTTGTTGGCCACTGAAGGGGATCAGACAAATCTGTGGAGGGAGCCAGACCTATCAGCGGCTATCAGGCATAGCATCTAAATGGAACCCCATGTTCAGAGGCAGTACATCACTGGATACCAGTTGCTAGGGGAGGGCTATTGACTTCATGCTCTACTAGGAAGCTTTGTGGAAGCATCTGGATTCCAGAACATTGGGATGCGGAGTGACAGAGAGTCTTTTGGTCTGATATGGCAGGGTTGATTTCTTCCGGGAGAAATGAGAACAGCCATGGTAACATGAGATGAGAGGATAAGCTGCATTTCCATAGGCTCTGTTTGTTTTGGGGAGTGACGAGGACTAAGAGACAAAGACTTCATGGTGGAGATGGGCTGCAAAATGGGACTTGGATCCCAAACCATCTTCCCAGGTTTTGTGAGGTGTGGTAATTGGCATGTGGTTAAAGAGACAAATGTAATAAGAGTAAAGGAAGGCAGGTTGAGGGTGGGGTTGTAACTCTCCTTAAAGCTTGACTAACTCATGAGATGCTCTGCTTCCACTTTTAAGACATGTGCGCACACAGCCACATTGCTAATCTATCACTCCTGCGCCTCTTTCCTGAGCTATTAAAGCTCAACAAGACTCGGAACCTTCTGTTCCTGTTCCCCTGCCGGCACCTTTCATCTGCTCCACAACTGTCGGCAAAAAGCCATTTTCTGCTTTGGAGAACAGTGGGAGGATGCCAGTCTTATTTATGCACACAACGAAAGCAGAGAATGTCAGGCTCACGTCCACACCTTCAGTCATTCAAGAGCTGGCAGGAAACGAGCCCCAGGAGACTCCAGAGTTGCTTTGCCTGTTCCCCAATTCACCCAGGTAAATGTCACCTTCCATAGGTCAACCTGCCCAAGCCCTGTTTGCTGTTTGTTTGCAAGTGAGCGGCAGTGATGGAGAAAGCAGCCTGTGGACAAAATGCAGCTTTGGACCTCAAGTGGGGAACATGCATTCAGCTAGTCCAGCCTACATGGGTACTCACTGCAGTAGGGCTAGCACTACTTGGAGCTCTCCAGACACTGTGGAACACAACTCCCATCAGCCCCAGACAGCATGGCACCCCCATCTTTCTGCCCAGATGCTGAGGTCCAGCGCCGAGGGCCTTCTGGCAGTTCCCTGACTGCGAGAAGTGAGGTTACGGGGAACCAGGCAGAGGGCCTTCTCGGTAGTGGCACCCACCCTGTGGAATGCCCTGCCATCAGATGTCAAGGAAATAAACAACTATCTGACTTTTAGAAGACATCTGAAGGCAGCCCTGTTTACGGAAGTTTTTAATGTTTGATGTTTTATTGTGTTTTTAATATTCTGTTGGAAGCCTCCCCGAGTGACTGGGGAGGCCTGGCCAGATGGGTGGGGTATAAGTAATAAATTATTATTATTATTATTATTATTATTATTATTATTATTATTATTTGGAAGCTGTTAAGGGAAGGGCCATAGCTCAGTGGTGTAGGTTCCGCATTGCATGAAGGGGGTCTCAATTCAATCCCTGGCACCCGCCAGTAGGGCTTTCAATCCTGAAGAGCCGTTGCCAGTTGCCAGTCAATACTGAACTGGATGGGCCAGTGGTCTAACTCAGCATAAGGCAGCTTCCTATGAAGGTCAAAACATCTGGGGGGCACCACGCTGGTTACCCCTGCTCTGCAGTATCTACACATTAAGCCTGGATGCCTGAGGAATTGGCTATTTGGAAATTGCAAGACACACTGATCAGATCCACACCTCTCAGATTAATATGTGGATGGAATAGTATCTGCCCATCAGATTTGCATTCCTTCAAATGTTGGGATGCATTTCTCAGCTCAGAAAAGAGATCCAAAGTATGCAGCTTGAAATAAAATGTTTATAAATAGTTATTTTGAGATGAATAGTATTTATCTCCAGGCAGAGGGCACCAGGCAGAGGGCCTTCTCAGTAGTGGTGCCTGCCCTGTGGAACGCCCTCCCATCAGATGTCAAGGAAATAAACAACAATCTGACTTTTAGAAGACATCTGAAGGCAGAATATTAATAATATTCTGTTGGGAGCCACCCAGAGTGGCTGGGGAATCACAGCCAGATGGGCAAGAATGCAGAAATGCAATGGAAGAGGCTTTTTACACCCAAACACATACACATATAATTCATGCAAAATTGTTTAGCATAGCAAAGCAGGGCTTTCTACCCTCCCGGTTTGCAATGGTGTTACTCAACTCTCAGCTATATCACTGTTTTATTATTAGAAAAATCCCCACCAGGTGACAAGGTGTATATAACTGGCTGTTTTATTCCTCTGGCTCCCCATATTCATTTTCTGACCCTTTGCCTTCAGGCCTGTTAAACTGTGCCACTCCTTGTTGCTTTCCTCATTGTTGGGAGCTGGCTGCTAGCCATGAAAGCCGGTCTCGGAAGGGGGTGAGTATTGGTGCAGCACATGCCAGAAAAGGACTCGAAGCCAGTGATTATGCCAGATACAATTTCCAGACTCAAAACTTTGATGTGAGCATTAAAACACACATACACAAAAATTGAGTGAACTATTTTCACTGCCATCTCTAGTATCCAGTGACCAAACATTAATTATTGTGCTGGCTGCAAGTACCTTGGAGCAACCTGATGTCTGGCTTTTCATCTACCCTCTTGAAAACTGTTTTATGAATCCACACTGAAAAGAAAGCATTAGGCAATGTAACATTATTTTACTGCCGACATTCCCTTTGATGCCTGTGTTCTGCCCAGAGACCTGTGGCCCTAACGCCCCACCTTTCTTACATTACTGTGGCTTCATCCTGTGGCTTCACCAGCATTAATTTACAGAAATGCCGCTGGAAGAGAGCAGCTATCGTTGCTGGTCGATAAGAGCCAGTTACTGAAGTCTGCAAACTGGAATCCATCACACACTTATCAGCAGCAAAAAGAACCATGCAGTTTCCCGTGTAAATCATTTCTATTGCTGCATTTCAGAAGGAATCCAAGGACAATTCCAAAGGACCTGTTTACTAGGCATTCGTTCTGATTTGTTTGCAGGGAGAATAGACTGCACTGACTACTTAATGAGCATTTCTTCTGATTGTTTGTGAGGAGGTTGGATGACACTGTGTCAAAGAAAGGCTCTATCCCACACTTCCCAGTGCATTCCCCTCACTGTTTTCCTTTAATGCAAAAAGTCTGGTCTTTGGGGGAAGTGGGCTTCTTACGCAGAAGAACTAATCAGCTTTGATTGTACAACCTGAACTTGCTGCGATGGAACTGAATCCCATCTGAAAATAGCGGCAGTCTGGAGGTGCTGTAAACCACCTGATTTTCTTTAAATATGGAGCAACTTCCCACGGTCTCATCTGTTTCCAGAAGGTACTGTCAGATCCACAGCCACCATGGAAGGAAGATGCACATGGAGAGAAATAGTTTTACCCCATGCTGAAATGTGAATTCAACATCTGTTTTCCCCTGCTCTCAGAATATATATATATATATATATATGCCACCTTCGTCACTTGAGAGCATCCATGGTAAGCCCATGCAAACAAAGAAATCGATGCCTATCGATCCCCATGCCAGGAATTCATAAACTCCTCGAAAGGTCAAGGATTGATTTTTTCCCCTCCCTTCACTTTCTGTAAAAGAAAACATACACACACAAAACACTTTCCCAAACCTTCCATCTCTCACGTACTTCCCTTGCAGACAGAAATGCCACGTGGCATGTGCAGGCTCCTTAGAAACACAACTTAGGGGCAGGAGAAGAGTATATACAAATGATCCGTACATGAAGCCAGACAGATTCAAGGAAGATGGATGAACGAGGCCAGTCTGCTCGTTGGAGCTGTTCCTGCACTTCTTTGCCGCTCAGATGTGGCATCGAAATGAGATGGAGATAAGAGACTCTCTTAAACTCACGGACATACCAACACCTGGTTCACACTTTAATCTGGTTCAAATTGACTCATGGCCAATGCACAAGCTTCTGACATGGTGAGACGCTTCCTATGGATCATGTTTGTAAAAACATGGTTCCCCCAGAGACCTGTTTTGTTCTCTTCATAGTAACAGTTTACAGGTGGAAGACGATGGATATATTGCCATGGCCTGCCCTAACATTAGGCAGAGAGAGATGACTTCAGATGGCCCATGGAGACAGCAGATGCCAGAAGCCTTCTCTGAATTCCTCCTGAGCTTTGTAGGCTTGTCTGCTGACCTCAGGTGCAATGGAGGAGACCACCAGTGTTGCAGTAAGATTCAACTGCCAGTGAAGTCAGATTGTGTATATAGAAGGGGGAGCCATCATCTCAGGCAGCTAAATGCATTGGGACAACCCGGACTTTTGTGTTATGATAACATATACCCCTGCCTTCTCCTGGAGCCAGAGCTGACCCATCATCTCAGAGGAGGTGTTTGCATTGCTATTAAAATGTGAGGGGACTGGCTCCCTGCTGCCCAAGTTAAAACATCTGTGTCCAATCAGAGTACAGCTTTCCACTGACCAATGAGATGCAGGATAAGACCAGGGGGAAATGGTTCATTGGCAGCAATTGTTTGTGCAACCATTTTAGCAGTTGGTATCAATGAGCTTAGGGCCTAGCCAAGAAAAGAATTAGTTATGATGCAATGAAGAACAAACTGAAGACCCGTCTAAGGCAGGAATGGGGGACAATTTTCAGCCTGAGGACCACATGTCCTCCTGGGCATCCTTCCAGAGACCACATGCCAGTGGTGAGTGGGGTGGTGGGTGGGGCCCTGCTGAGAGCTTGAGGGCCCGCTCCTGCCTCTTTCCACCTGGCCCAGCCTGACAGGCTTCAAAAGGACTGCTGCTGCCCAGCAGAGGGTACCGTTTCTTTTGTTAAATTGCTTTTAATTTAATTTTTAAGAATATATTTTTTAAAAAAAGTTTTAGTGTTTTAACTGCTTTGAACCTACATCTTATGCCCTTTTGGGTACACGGGTGGCACTGTGGGTTAAACCACAGAGCCTAGGACTTGCCGATCAGAAGGTCGGCGGTTCGAATCCCCACGACAGGGTGAGCTCCCGTTGCTTGGTCCCTGCTCCTGCCAACCTAGCAGTTCAGAAGCACGTCAAAGTGCAGGTAGATAATAGCTCTGGCGGGAAGGTGAACGGCGTTTCCGTGCGCTGCTCTGGTTCACCAGAAGTGGCTTAGTCATGCTGGCCACATGACCCGGAAGCTGTACGCCGGCTCCCTCGGCCAATAAAGCAAGATGAGCGCCACAACCCCAGAGTCAATCGCGACTGGACCTAATGGTCAGGGGTCCCTTTACCTTTACCTTATGCCCTTTTAAAATATGTTGGGGGTGTTACTGGGTTGTTGCTGTTTTTATTTTGATTATGTATTTTGTGGTTTTATATTCTGATTTTATCCTGTGAACCGCCCTGAGACCTGCGACTATAGGGCGGTATATAAATTCAATTGATGATGATGATGATGGTGTAAAAGTGGGTGGGTCAACTTTTGTAAATTTTACTGTTGTCCAGTAGGCTAGTTTCTACACACATTCACAATCCCCTCTCTGTCCTCCATCCCAAGAAGCAATAGGCATTATCAGAGTCTAAGGACACCCCAGCCAAGCAAAAACATACAAGCAGGAAAGCAGGAAAAGATCGCAAAGCAGGAAAGATTGTAGAAGCTCCAAGGGCCAGATAGAGGGGCTCGGTGGGCCACTTTTAGCTACCAGAGCTGAGTTTCCCCAAACCTGGTCTAAAGGCTCTCAACCAAATGTGCAATTTGTCTCCATTGAGAAACATACTGTGTGTTCCAAACATTCTGTCTCTGGCACTTAGCCGACGGTGGCTCATTTGCCAGGCACATTGGTGCTTGAGGCTACTATCAACCTGTGCTATGAGCAGCTATGTATGAATCAGCTTTTGCACTGCAGAATGAGATTGCTTCCTTAATTGCACCATCCCATGCTCTTTCGCTTGGTGGGCCCTTTCAGATGCACCCTTGGAAGAACTTCCCATTCAGGGCTGAAGGACTGGGGCTGCTGCATCTCCCTTTTAGCACTTGAATTTAAACATCCACCCACAAAATGAAAACCAGCTAGCAATGCTTCTCCACCCCAACATTTCCTGTTTGGTTCTAGCATCTAGTTTTCTACCACCGTCATGGCTTCCTCCCCAAAGGATTCTGGGAGTTCTAATGTCAGATAATTCTGTAAGAGATACACACACACAAACACACATCCTAAAATCCCCAGGATTCTCAAAAACTTTAAAACCAGCTTCACTCTCACGCAAGTGTGCCCCATGTACTTCAAAGGAGGTCAAACCAAAAGTTCTGGTTCTGATAATGGACTTATAAAACAGCCTCAGCAGACATCTCTGCCCCAGTGAAGGGTGACTTGTCAGCCTCCTCCTGCCTGCATGCTCTCCATCCGTTCCAGAGAACCTGGGTGCTTATCCTGCCTGGGCCTCTGCTCTGCTTCTGGCTCTCCTCCAACATCAGCAGCAGGCACTAACAGCTAATTGCTGCAAAATAGCTAGTCTCTGTTTCAGGGCACCGCTTTTCTTTTGCTTTAGGAGCTGGCAAATGGATCCTCGGAGGGATTATAACAACTCTGTCCTGGCCCTGTGCCCTGAGTTTTTCGAGCCCTTGTCTCTGGCATTCTTCCTGCCAGGACTGAGAAATTCTTTTTTGTCTTTATCCCCTTGAAGTCTCCATCTCTGTTTCCACCTCCCTCCGCCCCCTGCCTCACCGTATGCCCCACTCCATCCAGTCCTCTTCAAGGCTGCCTGGCTCTAGGCCAACTCAAAACACATGGCACCATTTACCCTGTAGTGTCAGTGTGAGAGCTGGGTCCAGAAGTCTTCAATCTTTTGCATCCTGCCATCCCCTGACATTCTCATTCTGCTAGGGTAGGAATGCAAGGGGAGGGGGTTCTGTTGCCAAGGCCACATTCTCACCATGCACTTAAAGCACAGTGATACGACTTTAAACAGCCACAGCCGCTCCCAAATAATTCTAGAAACTGTAGCTTGTTCAGAGAGTTGTTAGGAGGCCCCTTGTTCCCCTCCCAGAACTACAATTCTCTGGGATGTGGTATTGATTGTTAAACCACTCTGGGTATTGTAACTGTTACATCCTGACTGATCTCATCCTCCCCACCTCTTCAGAACTGCCAGGTCACCTCCAGGAGCAGTGGCATTGGTGGGTCCAGCTGGAAACACAGTGCTCATCTGATAGCACGAGGACAATTGTTATTGAGAAGATTCTTGATGTTTCAGGTGCTTCAGATCAGGGACTCAATGACAGGCATGGAAGCAGTTGAGCAGCACCAATGATTAGAGAGCTGCTCAGTTGCTGAAACAGCATCTAATCTTGCCCGTTCTCCCTGTTGGACAGCTCCTCTGATACTTTGAATTTCCTGAAGTTTGACTAACTGGACAGCTCTGAGTTAGGCAGGATATTTAGCCACACAAGGAGAACAGGAGCAGATCGGGAAGGCTACATCACTTAATACGCAACTAACTGAAATACCATATTCCCTCATACCAACTTGGGCTCTGAGATCCTCGGAGGAGGGCCTTCTCTCGGTTCTGCCACACTCACAGGCAGGCTTGGTAGGGATGCAGGAGATGAACTATTGCTGGCTGCTCCCAGACTTTGGAATTCCCTTCCTATATAAATTAGAATCATTGAGTTGGAAGGGACCCTGCGGATCATCTAGTCCAACTCCCTGCAATGCAGAAATATGCAGTTGTCCCATATTGGGATCGAACCTGCAAACTTGGCATTATCAGCACTATGCTCTAACCAACTGAGCTATTAGACTGGCTCCCTCCTTGTTGTCCTTCTGGCAGCAGGTGAACGCTTTATTGTTCTAACAAGCTTTTGAGAACTGACTGTTTTTAGTGCAATGATCTGAATGTTGTAATAGATCATGCGTGTGTTTGTATGTAGTAATTCTATTATTGTTTAATTGGTTGTTTTAATGACTGCTTTTTCTATGTTTTTAACTGTATCTATTTTGGCTGCAATCCACCTTGACACCCTGTCAAGGAAAAAGCTGGAATATAAATATAATAATAATAATAATAATAATAATAATAATAGGAAGCAAGCCCCACTGAAAACAATGGATTGTATTTCTGAGTAGGCATGCATAAGATTGCTCAGAAAGTTGTCACCCATATAGGGCAAGATATAAATGACACGAAAAATAAATGCTTTAACATTCACTAAATTATTAAATGTTAAGAGACTTGTACATGAAATCTTGAAGAGTGAAATGACCAGGAACCAAACAAGGGAAAGAAATAGTGTAAAAAAAGCAACACCCATCTCCGATTTCCCTTTTATCTCTGTGACATATAAATCACACAGCAGAACTATAAGGCAGGAGATTCTGCCTTTGACTAATACCTTTGAGCAATCCCAGGAGATGAATGGTTTGACCTCAGGATGTCAGCATTAAATAAGACAAAGCCACTGTTGATGCTTGCTCCTTTCATCATAACTGTTGTCGCAGTATTTCAGCTATTATAAACAAAGTGCCACCATCTGCAGAGGCAGGGTTCCCAAGGGAGCTTATTTGCTGTAGGACACCTATAAACTTCCCCCCTGAACAGATGCAGGCACTGCTGGAAGCTTCCGATGTGCATGCTAAGCTATCGGCAGAAGGTATCAGCTCCCAGATGTCCACCTATCACTTTGTCAAAAACTCCAAGTTACTTCCTTTGGAAATCAATAGCTGGGGAGAGGGCGGGTGGGAGGAATTCTGCCTGCCCTTGAGATCAGCACATGGGAGAAAGGTACAAGTGCATTGGCATCAGGTGAAGCTTTGTGAAAGTCACACCGAGAAGTATGAAGGTTTCCTTTGCAGCAGGTTTAGTATATGTTGTATTCACTTCACTGACATCTTTCCATCATGGAAAGCACTTCTGTCACCATGCGAGAAAAGGCATGCACATAAAAAGATAAGAAGAGCCTTCTGGATCAGGTCAGTGACCCATCTAGTCCACCATCCTGTTCTCATGGTGGCCAACTAAATGCCCCTTATGGGAAACCTGCAAGTCGGATTCAAGCGGAAGACCACTCTCCCCTCCCGCAGTTTCCAGCAACTGATAATCAGAAGCATTGCTGCCTCCAACCGTGGAGGCAGAATATAGCCATCATATCATACATTTGTTGCAGTAATGTCTAACTCAGTATATTTATTCAGTACCCTGCCTTTCCACTAAATTGGCTTACCTGAAGAGCTCAAATCAAATCAAATACATGAGATCTGGTAGCTCGCTGCAAGAATAGGATACTGGTCCGGATGGGCCATTGGTCTCTTCTGCGGGGCTCTTATTATATTCTTGAAAGAGAGAGAGAGAAAGATCAGGAGGTAACGAATAAAAAGAAATCAGAGAGTAGGGAGTGCGAAATGCCCACAGTTTCAAAAAGAGAAATAACTTTGTGAGCCAAGACAAGACCATGAGGGATGGATCTAGGCAGGCTTCCCACAGGTGGGAGTTCTGCAAGCTAGTCATGAAGGCAGAGAAGACTTTCTTCCACACCTCGCCCAAACATTTTGGCAAAACACGAAAAATAGCCTCTGTGGCACATCTTAGCGAACAGACGGGCTAATCTACTCAATGCCAGGCTTTCTTGGATGAGGCTGATCATTTGGATTTATTTATTGATTTTGCTTAATTGATTTTAAAAGCTTATGTTCCACCCCACAAAAAGGAACGCAAGGTGATCTGTGGCAATAGGAAAATTTAAAGGCCTGCAGCCTTTTGATGCTGTCCTCCCATGACATTCAAGATTGCAGGCCCCTTCTCTGTGTCCCACCTGCTTCAGGTCACATCTGCACCATACATTGAAAGCACTCTATTAAACTGTTATAAAAGCAGTGGCTTCCTTTATAGGAATTGGGAACTGGAGTTGGTTGAAGGTGCTGGCTTCATAGGTCTGCAATTCCCAGCATTCCCCATGTCTGTTAAAGTGGTATAAGAACATTTTAAGTGTATGGTGTTGATGAGGCCTCAGAAGTACAGCCAGTTGTGACATGAGACAGCTCATTCTGTGCTGCAACGAACAAATTTCAGGACCCAGAGCTCCCTCTCTAAAGAAGCTTGATTGGTTCTCTCCTTTGGGCATTTGGTAAAACACCTTATTTCAGCTTGCTTTCGATCTGTATGATGTCTATTCTCCCCTTGATGATTTTGACTGCAATTCCTAGCCCCAAATACCTGTGTATAGGCCCCATTGAATTCAATAGGACTTACTAAAGACTGTGGCCTTTGTTAACATTTCATTCTCTTCTCAATTTTTTCTATTTTAATTAGCATTCATTAAACTGTATTTTACTATGAACCCTAGGGTGTGCGGGTGGGTGGGTGGCATTTTAGGGTCAAAATATGACACATAAAGGACTTCATAAACAAAGCAAGCAAGGAGGCACCCATAATCCCAATGGGAGCCACAACAAGCTAAAAAAATAGCTCAGGGTATGTTGTGCCACACTGGGTGGAAATCCTGTTGCTTATTTGAAACATCCCTTTGCCCTTTTCCTTATCTTTTTGAAATTCCCAAGATGTTTCACCCAAGCAGAAGCCTCCAAGTTTGCCTCAAAATTTTGTTTTAGAATTAATCTGATGACAACTCTCAGTGGAACGGACAGGAGATTAACAAGTTGGAATGTGTGCAAAGGGGGCTGACCAAGATGATCAAGGGTGTGAAAACCAAGCCTTATGTGGAACAGTTGAGGGGGCTGTGTGTGTTTAGCTTGGAGAAGACTATGAGATGACATGATAGGCACCTTCAAATATCTGAAGGGGTGTCGCAAAGTCCATGTAGCAAGTTTGCTTTCTGCTGCTCCAGAAGGGAGTACCCAAGCAATGGATTCAAAGGATGAGAAAGGAGGTTCCAAGTCAGCTCTAGGAAGGATTTATTGATGGCAAGAGTGGTGTGAAAGTGGGGCAGAGGACCTTGGAAGGTGGTGGACTCTCCTTCACTGGAGGCTTTTAAACAAAAGTTGGATGGTCATCTTTCAGGGATTCTTTAGCTGTGTATAGCAGAAGGTTGAACTACATGATCCTTGGGGTCTTTCCAACTCTATTGTTATCATTTATTAAATTTGTATACCCCACAGGTCTCAGGGCAGTTCACAGGATAAAATTACAATATAAAAACACAACATACATAATCAAAACAAAAACAAAAACAACCCAATAAGACACCCCCCCCAATACATTTTAAAAGGGAAATGGATGACATTCAACCAAAGGCCTGGTTAAAGAAGGTTTTTGCCTGGCTCCTAAAGGTGAATAATGGAGGTGCCAGGCAAACCTCTATAGTTCTATGATTCTATAAGTAGGAGTAAAATAGATAAATAGACAGATAGATAGATATCCTGCTTCCTATGCTTTAGATGCCCTGCATACGTGATAATAACAGCTCACTTTCCCCCTGTCCTAAGCCAGAATGTCCCAGCATTCAAGGGCCATTCCACTTACCTAGGTGAGCACTGTGTGCTCAGCTATGAGCACAGCCAGGCACTGAGTCTTCTAAAGCAGCTTACCTTTCGCCTCCCGTTCTCCCCACTTGCTGTGAACCAGCAGCATCACTCAAGGAGAACCAAGGAGACTCCTGGTGCGGAGATAAAGGCAGTAAACAATGAGCAGTCATTTCTGGAGGCAGGGATGGGCACTCCGAGTCCAGTAGAACATCACTCAGCATGAGAAATCTCTTTGCCGGAGCTTTTTTATGGGTTTCTTGCAGCCAAGATAAGCGGGAGATCCATCCCAGGAATAAATGAGAGGCTGCAGCATTGATCGGAAGCAGGAACGGCAGGTGGCCGGCTGTAGCAGGGACCTCTATGCCGGCAACAAGGAGATCATAGAATCATAGAATCATAGAATCATAGAATCACAGAGTTGGAAGAGACCACAAGGGCCATCGAGTCCAACCCCCTGCCAAGCAGGAAACACCATCAGAGCACTCCTGACATATGGTTGTCAAGCCTCTGCTTAAAGACCTCCAAAGAAGGAGACTCCACCACACTCCTTGGCAGCAAATTACACTGTCGAACAGCTCTTACTGTCAGGAAGTTCTTCCTAATGTTTAGGTGGAATCTTCTTTCTTGTAGTTTGGATCCATTGCTCCGTGTCCGCTTCTCTGGAGCAGCAGAAAACAACCTTTCTCCCTCCTCTATGTGACATCCTTTTAGATATTTGAACATGGCTATCATATCACCCCTTAACCTCCTCTTCTCCAGGCTAAACATGCCCAGCTCCCTTAGCCGTTCCTCATAAGGCATCGTTTCCAGGCCTTTGACCATTTTGGTTGCCCTCCTCTGGACACGTTCCAGTTTGTCAGTGTCCTTCTTGAACTGTGGTGCCCAGAACTGGACACAGTACTCCAGGTGAGGTCTGACCAGAGCAGAATACAGTGGCACTATTACTTCCCTTGATCTAGATGCTATACTCCTATTGATGCAGCCCAGAATTGCATTGGCTTTTTTAGCTGCCGTGTCACACTGTTGGCTCATGTCAAGTTTGTGGTCAACCAAGACTCCTAGATCCTTTTCACATGTACTGCTCTCAAGCCAGTTGTCACCCATCTTGTATTTGTGCCTCTCATTTTTTTTGCCCTAGTGCAATACCTTACATTTCTCCCTGTTAAAATTCATCTTGTTTGTTTTTGCCCAGTTCTCTAATCTGTCAAGGTCGTTTTGAAGTGTGATCCTGTCCTCTGGGGTGTTAGCCACCCCTCCCAGTTTGGTGTCATCTGCAAATTTGATCAGGATGCCCTTGAGTCCATCATCCAAGTCGTTGATAAAG